TTTTTACCCAATTTATTGTCAGGAAGTAAAAAGGCCTGGAGAGGTTTCCATTCTGTGTACCACAGTATTAGTGATGTTTCAGAACGTGATTGTCGATCACTCCCCGTCTCCCCCACCGCCAACCAGAGCTCCTTCTGTGCTGATCGCCACCCACATGGTGGTGGAAATATTTAGAAGCAGCATTCCTTTCTGCCAACAGTGAGCACTTGCAAAGGTCTCCTGAAGTTGATTTCATATAACAGTTGAAATCTTGAACTCCATCTTATGGACTTATTACATAAGTTACCAGTTATATTGAATTGCCATGATTTTGCATGCTTCCTAATGAATTTTCAAGGAAATTACAAAAATCGCCGGTTTTACTATTACTCTAATTGTGATCTTTTTGACAGAAATACATCTGTTTTTGTTCTATATCCTGAGCCATTACATTAATGGCAAATAGTTTCCAAAAGTACTTGATATTACCTTATTTCAGAAGCACAAATACCTTCTACCAAAGATGGGCAAATTCTCAAATAATGTAAAGGACCAGCACTTTTCCAAGTTTGTAAGGTAGAAAATTAAAATGTTTCCACACACCACAAGTGGCCTTTTATAAATTTGTTCATTTTACATGAATAATTATTACTTAAAGTCAGTACCAAACCTTCTCTAGTTAATACATTTAGATTCTGGTATTAGGTTTTCAACCTCCATGTAATGGAAAAAGGAAAAAAAAATCAGATTAAAACTAAACACAGCTGCTGTTAAGCATCTTGCCTTTTCAGCAAAAACGGAGTTTAACCTGCATTTTCTAACTCTCTCTGGGTCATGTTTTCGGTTTTGAGATTTGGTTAGTAGATGCAGAGCACTTCCGTAAAACTCTCCTTCGATATTTACCTCCTCTTCATTTTATTTGTTGTCTTTTGTGGTCAAATTTTTATCTAGGAATGTAACCTTTGGAAAGTATATATATATATTTAAGAGACCTCTTTATTGCACAAAGTTTTGTCTGCAGATATCAAATGGTATTAAAATACTGTATTATCTTCAGGAGAATGCTTAAATTTATGTAACAGCAAATATTAAAATCAGTTATGAAGAAGGGAATAATTTAAATTAATTCATCTCTTTATATCCATAAAGTATCAGCTCATCTCAGTTGCTGTTTTTCTTGTTCGTTCTCTCCACAGCTCCGCCACAATACCTCCAGCCATTTATTTCTGATAAAAATGTGCCATCTGAACTAGAATACATGATTATTTCCTTCAGAGAACCACACATGTATCTTCGACAATGGAACAATAATTCTGTCTGTCAGGAGATCCAGTTCTCAGCTCAAACAGACTGTAAACTTCTAGAGTGCAGAAATGTTACGATGCAAAGCGTGGTAAAACCCTTCAGCATCTTTGGACAGATTGCAGTTTCCAGCAATGCTGTAGAAAAGCTGATTGACTCCACCATCATGGTTGACTCTGTATTTGTAAACTTTGGGCAACATGTGGTTCATTCTCTAAACACTGCAGTACAAGCTTGGCAACAGGTATGCACATTCTAGAACAGTTTACAGTTTGTCTGTGGGTGATCTTTTACTAGTCACTCTGTGTTATCACGTCTAATAATAAGTTACGCGTAAACAAAAGTGCGAGAGAATGAAGAATCTGATGGGCACCATAGTGTTTGGGCCTTCTCTGTTTTGGCAAAGTGATGCATGTTATTTTTAAAACCTTTGGAGAATATGGGTTCTCTACACATGCATCAGAGATCATGCCCACATTTTTGTGACTAATGTACCACATCTGTGTGGAAAGTTACATATTCCCAGAAACTTTTTCCAAGTCTTATGGCTTTAGTTTGCCAAAGCTTCAACTTAGCTATGCATCAAATTGTCTAAGCATCCACTGCAGAAATGAAGAGCCTGTGTGAGCCTTTCTGAGATAAGCATTTGAAAGAGAAAAGGCAGTGAGAGGAAATGTGTGAACACAATATAGTCTCAGTCTTTCCCCCATTATCATTCTGCCATTTTGAGTCACTAAAAAAGCACTGGATAACAGATTTTTTAACTAGTTAGTCTCTGGATTGGTAATTGTTTTACTTTTATCTCTTGGCAGAAATCAGCCACCTCAGAAAAGAGATGGAAAGTCTGTTTTGAATGGTGTATTTAAAGTGGGGAAATGCCCACATCCACTAGTATGAAAATAATTTCACGAAATGTTTGGATAGTAATATGCTCAGTGACTTAATAACAAATCACTTCTGCTTCCCTTACTGATTTTCAGTATTGTGTTTCCACATAGTTTGTGTTGCTATTTAAGCTGAGACATTTCCCCACATTTTGTATGTTACATGCATTTGTGTGGACCAACTCCCCAAGAGAAACGGTCCTTCATTCTGCTCTGACCTCATGGGGGGATGGGGCAGTGGAGAGGGGGAGGGGCTTGAGTTCCCTAACTTAAGAATTTTTATGGGAATAAACTCTTTTCTTTATATGCATGAAGACCTATACAAGACTAAGGAATTAATTACCTAACATGGCACTACAATAGCAAAGGGAAAGAAGATAACACATCTGTTTTATATTTTAAAATTCTTTTTTAAGGGCATTCCATGGTTTTCTTGTTGCAGAGGACATGCGTAAAATAAGAGCTAGTGTGATCTAAATCTTTGCAGCTGGTTCGAATAGCGATGTGAAAAAAACCTCCATGGCTCCAATTTCTGTTTTTTGTCATATTTTGAACAATGCATTTAATAAAAAACAAACCTAGAAAATACAAAAGACTCATTGATAGAGCATTTAAACCCAGGATATTTTTGTTCTGGTATCAGAGCCAGTATAAGGGGACTCATGTGTAGCAACTACTGCAAAATGGCCCTCAGAAATATCTGTTTCCTCCCAGGGTAAAAATCTTCTCTTAGACACAGCTATACATACAAATAAAATACGGTGCATAAATATTTAAATGTTTTAAACCACATCAGAGTGTGAATGACTGACTGGCTAACAGAGTGCCTTGAAGGAATACTCTGAGTTTTTTTTTAAATGGAATTGTATATTTGATTAAGTAGAGCCATATGTCACGTAGCATATTGCTGACAGGTACATTCTATGAATAGTTGGTTCTGATTTATACAGGGATTTGGCAATGTTAACATGAGCCACAAGAGGATATACTTCTGTAATTGTTGCTGTAATTTTCTTGTTTCCTCCCATGTCAAGGGTACTTGCCACCAAGTTTTAATGTGGTAGGCATCTAACCCTGTGTATTCTAAAATAAATACCAAAACGCACTACTTTGAAATTATAGGACATTTGACATTGAAATGGGCTTATGGAGGGGTTATTAAGTTCATTGTTTCTAAGATGTTCTGAATGTGGTTTATCCCCTTTAGAGGGAGAGATTAGTTTCCCAAGCTTGGATTTTTATTGTGTTCTAATGCTCACATGGAGTATACTCCCAATGAGAAAGTGAAGTTAATAAGCAGAGTAAGTTATTTGAGTTCTCCACATACTTTTTATCGGATATTCATATCCGAGACAAGTCATTTGTATCCAGTGTGGATGGACCAGACAGTTGAAGCATGAAACAATTTGGCCTTTCACCTTTAGGTCATGAGTTCAAGATTAACAGAAGCCTTCATCAGTGTCCGATTTCTCTGGCTGTAGGTTTTTTTTCTCTTTGTAAATGATTAATGTTTTGCGAAACCAGATTAAGGACCCAAAGTGCCACTTGCAGTTTGCTTTATATTTCTATGTCACATTCCCACATTTAGACAAAATAGCATTTCAAGATTTTTACTTAAAAATCAAAGTTATGTTCATGTGTCTTACCTTACACCAAAATGATACCTCTCTTTACTTGCAAATGCCTGTATAACACTGCAGCACAAATCTTAAATGTAGATGAGCCATCTTTTAATTACAAATCTGAGTGAGCATTCTGAGGTTTAGCTTGTATGATGTCATACAAAATGTGTATGAATTTTCATAATATACTAGAATTTAAACATTCCAAGAAATGCTTAAACTTGTTACAGTCATAATGAACTCTACAGATGAAGAAGCTGTAGAGAAACGGTTCCCTGAGGATTCTGAGTATTCTTTAGAAAAATGTAAACAACCCCCTTGTGCTCTTTCATTTACATTTTTTCCTAAAACCCTCATCATTTATTAAAGGTCAGTTTTTAGAGATGAGGAAAGTAATGTGATTTTTTTTTTCACTCAAGCCCCATCTGGTAACTTAACCTCTGTGTTACCAGCAGATTGATCCCAATTCATTATGAAAACTGAATTTCAATCTCAGGATGTCTGTCTGAGTGGGAGTTTGGAATCTTACCCCTTTCTTCATGGTTGTACTCTTGGACCTAAAGGAGAAAAAAATGTTTACAAGGAGAGCAGTTTATGTTAATTATACAATACTAAGTGGAAAAATCTCATCAACACTAATTATACACTGTGACTCCAGTTTGATTAAAGGTTTCTAAACCTTTAAATATATTAGATATCTAAGATAGGACTGGGTAGGGAGCAGCTGGGACACTCAGAAGTGAAAAATTGCTGGAAAAAATTCACCAAAATGTTAACAGCAATATCTCTTAAAATAAAATTAGAAACTTTTTTTTAAATTCATACTGTTTGCACTTTCTAATCTTTCTACTGGGAGCATATATTAGTTTTATAATTTTAAATTTTAGATTTACTCATGTGTTTGTTTCACGAGTGTTTATAGAGTACTTATGCGCCAGGCATTATTCTGAGCACAGGAGATAAAGTTGTAAGTAGCAGATCTCGTTCCTGCCCTTATGCAGTGTGGAGTCTAATGATGGAGAACAGCGAACCATAATCATGCAAATAATTACTCAGTCCCTGAAGGGATCAGTGCTATGAAGGTGAAATACAGTGTCGTGTGAGCATAAAGTAGGGGGATCAAAATTGGTCCAGGAGGATCTCAGGAGGGCATGACCTGGAAATAGGAAACTGAAAGCTGAGTAGAAAGAAGTTAGCCAAGCAAGGAAGAAAAGAGGTCCAAGCAAAAGAAAGGCACTGAGGCAGGAAGGACTTTCATGTGTTGGATGAACTGAAAGGGGGCCAGTGTGGTACTGGAGGAGCTGAAGGGGCTGGCGGAGCTGGGGTCTAGTGGGCAGATGGAGAGTGGTTCAAGATGCGGTGGGGGCCAGATCAGGCAGGATGCCTGAAACCTGCAGACAGTCCAGTTTTGAAATCATAGGTCGTGATTAAAAGCCACAGCAAAGAGCAGTATGGTAGACAACAGGTAATTGTTGGTCCTAACTGCTTCAGTCTCACTTAGCCAGAGACTCTTTTATCTATGATGAGCGTGGCTGTCGAGCAAGGTTCTGCCCCATGAGAATAGAGAGGTTTGGTGAGAATAGACAGATGATAGATCGAAGGCTCAGGAGTCCTCGGGGGTATCTGGAAGGATGAGATATTCCAGGGCCTCCTCACCAACTGCACTTAGAGAGCTCTGCCCACCCACTTTGGGGGCCTTCTGGATGATTAGATAACTGTTCTCGGTGAGGTTCTAGGTCAGGTCTTGGTCCAGGCTGGATTCCAAATACGTTCATCCGTAGACTCCTTGGCTTCAGGCCACATGATCACTGAAATCTCTATGCTTATGAGTGATGTATCCCTTTTCACTCTCCCTCCCCTCAGTAAAATGACAAATGATGGAGCATGGCATTGTGACAGTATTTAGATCCACAGCCAGGAAATAGAGGCCAACTGGAGAAGCATCAGTTACATATGAGCTCCCATTGTCTGCAAAGTCATTGGCTAACTGAGATATTTTTGTTGCATTCTCAAGTTAATCGTTTGTTTAGCTATTGTTTTCCTTTACCAGAGGTACATTTATTGTTTTTTAAGCCATAACCTATCCAAAGTGATAAAAGAGTAATCCCAGAAATGCTCTATCACTTGGCCAGTGTTTTGATATAATAGCAACCTGTGGAGATATCGCTGAGAAGGAGGTATCAACACAGGAATATAGTACTAATTTGCTGAGTCTTGCTAGATTAATGGAAGACGTTAGCTGATTGATTATTAGCTGAAACAGACACCAACAACTGTTTTTCAGCTAATGTTATTTCTCTCGAAAACTACAGCTCAGCTTACACTGACTCTGAGGTTGATCTGTTTTGTGTGTTCAGCCTCTTTAACAATAGAGGGAGAGTTATGGTTTTATTTACATCTCTCCCTGAGCAGATTTACACACACACACACACACACACACACAAACACACACATACATCTCTCCCTGAGCAGATTTACACACATACACACACACACACACACACAAACACACACATACATCTCTCCCTGAGCAGATTTACACACATACACACACACACACCCTCCCTCCCCCTTAAGGAATCTGGGGATGTATTATCTAAATGATCCTTACTTTCTGTAGGGTACAAACTGTGGCTTTGGTAATTGGTCTTGATTGTCAAGTTTAGAAGGTCGGGAACATGGTAATTCTAGCCCCTGGTACTCTGCTCAAAAACGTGCACTACGCAGTACAGCAGTCTTTGTAGCATGTTAATTCATTTTAAAATGCTAAGAGTTTGAGGGATCTCATTGTTCTTTTACTCTTCTGTGTATATGATTTATTTTGCAGGAATATAAATCAAAACATGTTCTTGGAACATTTAAGATCTCTTTAAGGTATTTTCTTGTGCTTATCCTGGAAGTATAGAATACTTTGTATACCAGAGCTAATGACAACAGATCTTTTAGTATTTCTGTGTTGTAACAATCGCCACTGGGCAGACAGCTGCCAAACATCTTGCAATTAACCTGATGCACGTTGGCTTTCGTATTCTTTTTCTTTCAGAACAAATGCCCTGAGGTAGAGGAGTTGGTCTTCAGCCATTTTGTGATCTGTAATGACACACAGGAGACACTGCGGTTTGGCCAGGTGGACACCGATGAAAATGTTCTGCTGGCCAGTCTCCATAGTCACCAGTACAGCTGGCGCTCTCACAAATCCCCACAGGTATTTGGAGAAAAAGTCTTACAAACACAGCAATTGTTAAGGTTGGGGAGTCATTTATTCTGCATTTGTGTGCCTGTGTCCAGTTACTTCCCTTTTTAAGTCTCCCAAGAAACCGCAAAGTATAGCTACATCCGATCAAAACCCAGAGATGTTTAGAGTGGGGAGCACAGTGTCCCCGTGCTTCTCGCGGAGTGGATGTCTCCTGGTTCGCGGGGGGTTTATGAGGTTAACTCTAGAGCCACAGGACGTGGGCTTGGATGCTGGCTCTGGATTACCTCGCTTTGCTTTCCTGCCTCAGTTATCTCATGTGTAAACTGGGGATAATAGTACCTATTTCATAGGGTGGGGAGGGCTAAATCAGTTAATATGTATAAGGCACTAAAATTGTGCTTGATACACTACTGTAAACATGATGCCTTCGGTATTATTATTCATTCATTTATTCTGATTCATAATCTGCACCAGTCATGTCCTAGGCACTGGGAATTCAAAGGCAGAGAAGTCTCAGTTCTTACCTTCCAAGGACAGCTCACGATCTGTGGCAAAAGTGAGCACAATGGCAAAATATGCCCAAGGAAGCACTGAGAAAAGACATACCGAAGGATGTCTGTTTTCCAAGTAGTATAATTCCATTTTCCTGTCACTTTAGATGGGAATAATTAGAGGGGTGTGCCCTGCAGGGGTAACTGAGGGGGAATTAAATACAAAGATGTGGTCTTAAATGAGTGAAAGAAAGCCTAGGAAGTATTCGCAAGAATAATGTATTTCCAAAACTCTGGGTAATAAGGAGACTACTGTCTGCTTGTAATTAAAAGAAAGTCATTAGATTAGAGAACAAGTTTTCCCATCTGGGCTATAGACCAGCTTTAGAGTATGTTATACCCTCAGGCTCCCAGTTTCCTTTTTTTTTCCCCCCCCAGTAGGCTATATTCAATTTCTTACTTGCTTTTTTGTCATACTGCCACACTATTAGTATAAAATTTGGGAAAGTAAATACAGTGCAATTCTTCTTAAGTCTATCTATTTAATTCTAGTTAACCTAACAGCAGATTAAAATGCCACAAATCCTTTTTTAATAAAAGTTCTTACCAAAGTCCCATATATGATATTGCACTTGTATTTTTAAAGTGAATGACTTGCCCTTATTTTCTAATTTTCCTTTTGAGAAATGTCCATGTTAGAGTGTTTTTAAGTTATTTGGTTATTTGTCCCTTGTAACATAATTAAAGAGCAATTAGTTGGTTGGTTCGTTTCAAAATTGTTTCAAAATTAAATCATTATTTTTTTCTTATTAATTGCACAAATGAGACTCTAGATGAGATATATAAACCAAAAAGAAAAAAGAAAAAGACGACTTATAATTCCAACCAGCTAGAGACAATCCATGTTAATACTTGTTGTGTAGCCTTTTAGCCCTTTGAAAGGTTTCTGTGATAATTGCATTCCCAGAAGTGAACTAGTAGTGACAGGAAAGAAACTTCTGAGAAGGTGTGGTAATGTGTGACCATACACTGTACCTGTAGCCACTTCCCCCATTTGCACACATAAGCTGCAGCCCTCAGCCAGTGGAAAGCAAAGCAGAGGAAGCTTCAACTCCCTTCCAAGTCATTTTTAGATGCATAGACTACCATGGCCCTCCGTGACCCTCAAGATTCCCTGGACACTGAGCCAGGAAAGGAAGGGTGACGGTATAAACAGCTGGCTCAGGGGTGTGGAGGAACAGCAGTCTTCATGTGATGGACTTACAGTTTCTGGATGGGAAGGGGATGAACAGGAAAGAAGCATGGATGACCATGGGCACAGTACACCTTTCGCTTTTCTACTCTTTTGCACTTTTTCAAGGTCTTTTTGTATTTTTTTACTGCTTTTGTTTTCATAATATCCCTGTGTGATTTGAATTTTTATTATGACTATTTTATAGATAAAGAGGCAGAAATGTAAAGCTAAGATAGTGGTAAGCTGGGACTGAATCCCGTATCTTTTCATTCTCAATATAGTGTTATTTCCACAACACTGTCAAACTCTCCCAGGTTTTGGCAGCATGATTTGTCAGTTAGAATAGCCAAGCTGTTTTAAGAGGTTTTAAGAAAAGGGCTGAGAAATCACTAGCATAGTACTCCACACTTAGGGCTAGACTAACATGGGATCCTTAGTATGAGTATGAACCTTTGCAAAGCTTTAAGAACCAAAACCAGTAAGAACCTTTTCATGACAAGCTGGAAACAAAAGACAGGTATCTATTAAACTTTTGTTTTCTCTTTTTAATTTGTAACTGCATCTTTTGGATACAAATCTTAAGATGAGCTATGTCATTATAATCTTTCACTAAAACTTAGATCAACTCCGTGGAAAGTGTCTCTTTGCTACAGCTATGTATGCTGAAGGAAGTGTGTTTTAGGACTCTCTGAAGTCAGAGAGGTCTTAATGGGCCCAGAGGGTCTTCAAGGAATTCCTTAACATCCACAATTGGAAATTCTGCTGTGTTCTAATGAGAGGTTACATCTGAGGTTCTGAAAAACTAGCCACTTAGCTTCATACTGCACCTGGAGGTAGTCAGAGACTCACAAGTGAGCAAGCTGTTCCCATTTCCAGACTCCAAGTCATATCCTGCACTGCCCAGCAGGCTGGGTCTCAGGAACATTTGTGTCTGCGTGTTTATGCTACCTTGGGCGTTAGTCAATTCATAGTCTCAGGGAGGATTTCTAAAGTTCATAGAACTTAACTCCGCTGAACAATGTAGCTTATATTGCAGAGATCAAGAAAGTGGCAATGACACCTGGAAAGGTTTCAAAGAGGTCAACATGTCTTAGAACCACACAGGAGGTTGCTAACAACAGTAAGTCCCAATAGGATGGGAAGAAACATGGACACGACCAAGTCCAGAAAGCTAAAGCAAAAACCTTTTAGAATTGAAGTTATAACCTCTCCTTATAGTTTCTAACACATGCTCTGAGGCAGAATCACTTAAAACGCTGGATATTCCACAGCAGTCGCTTGTCTAAACAAACAAAGGAAGAACAAAGCTATTTCCTAGGGAATAACTGAGCATGCTCAGCTGCACAGTCATATATGCCACCACAAAGGACCCTTTAATCCCCCAGTTCAGTAGACTTCAGACCAGGTTGGATGAGAGCAGTAACCAGCAAAGGACTGATCTTCCGAGAAGTGCTTCACGTTACGTGAGGTTGAATCTAAGAACTGGATAGGTGAGTTTGTGGAATCTTTCCCCAGAACATGGGCAGGATTTGCAGCTCAGGGTCAAGGGAAGTTTCGTTCAATTTAGCCAAACCAAATACACTGGCACTTCCATCATAGTAGGATTTGTGTATAGACTGTTCAAGTGAACCTCTTTTACTGGTTAAGAGAGAGCACTCTTGGCCGATTAAACTGCTTGAACTAGCAATGACTGCCTCAATCTTGTATATAAGAAACTACAATTGCTTTTACCCTGAAAACGTGCCCAATTTGCAGATGATGCAGTTTTTTTAGACTTGCAGAATTCCAGTGACCTGTGGAATTAATTTTAGTAATCAAACCATCAGTCAAGGTGGAAATGGGCTCTAGACAGAACTATAGGAAATAACAAAATATTGCTTCACAGTGGATATAATAGAAAGCTTCATAAGCTTGTAAAAATGGCAGATATTTTGAAATGCAAAATGCCACAAGGTTAAGAATCAGTTTGGAAGAGCAGCAGAGGATCTGGGGAATACTTGTCACAGTAATCAGATTTGGTGAAGAAAATATAAATCATATATTCGTTTCAGGCAGACATTGGCAAACTTTTTCATGTTGGACCAGGTGGTATATATTTCAGACTTTCAGGGCTTTAGACCCTCTCTCACAGCTATTCAGCTCTGCACAAAAGCAGTCGTAACAAATGTGTGACTGTGTGCCAATAAAATTTTATTTATAGACAGTGAAATTTGAATTTCAACAATTTTCGCACATCACGAAACAGTATTCTTCTTTTGACCTTTTTCAACCATTTGAGAATTTCAACCATCTGAGCACACAGGCTATACAAAAAAAGGCAGTGCACCAAATTTGGCCCACGAGCCATGCTTAGTTTGCCACCCCCTGCTTTCAGGTCTCTTCAGCTGACAAAATTCAATAGACTAAAAAAATAAATAAAATTTAAAAAGAAAGAAAGAGAAAATATATATATATATATATATTTATTGAAATGTTATGCTGTACACCAGAAATTGACACAACATTGTAAACTGACTATACTTCAATAAAAAAAATTAAATTAAAAATTTTTTTAATTAAATAGACTGAAGATATATGATTTTAAACTGTTTTCACTCTGGTCTAAATGGTATTCCCATCACCTGAAAACTTGGTAAGATGTTTCAGAAATTAAGACATGACAGGTAATATTTTAAATCTAACACATATAATCAGCCTGGACTTATCACAAAGCAGTAAAATATTTTTTGCTGTACTTGTTTTTGGCCTACACAGACAGAAAGTTATACAGTTCTTCTTTTGGATGTAAAAATATTTTAAAGTGAGATTTGATCATTTTTTCTCTTGTCAAAAGGGAAAGTAAAGGATTTTGAGTATCTTCCTGTCTTATGGTAATTCCAACCAGTTGTCAATTTTATTAACTAGATTGTAGTTCTTACTTAGTTACTGCTCTTTTCATACCCATTTATATAATGCATGTGTACCCATCTAGAGAATGAGCACATTTCTTGTTGCCACAGTCACAATTTTGAAAATTTAAAAGCAGACTTAGGGAGGCAAGGAAATATTCTGTGTTGGCAAGGAAATATTCCGTGTTGGCAAAGCTATTCAAACTGATACATTTTTCAGGTGTTTGCCTCTGCTGTTATATGGCACATGGCATGCATATCAGAGTTTGTTTAGAAAGAGCAAATGAGGAAGACAGTATGGACATTTCTCCAGAAACTAAAAATAGAACTACCATATGATCCAGCAATTCCACTCCTGGGTATATGTCTCCAAAAAAAACAAAAACACTAATTCGA